TCCTTGTATATGCACAATATTAAAATACAGAAAATCCTGACCCATCCACAGTAACATCCAGGTTCCTCATTATGTGTTTCCTTATATTGTGCGTGTGCTTCCACAACCACGTGCAGGTTCCGTTAGGCTCCGTTTTCCACGGGAATGTGTTTTGAATCAATACAGTCCTTTCGTGCCTGGAAGATGAGCAGGAAATAAAACCCTTGCACTCCTGTTTGAGTCACAAATTCCAAGCAAAGGGGGGCTCCTGGGTGACTTTAACTCGCTCCCGATGTATGCATGTGAGCAGCTGTACTCCTGGGAGGAAAGCCAGTGGTGGCAGGGGAGTATTCACGCCGGAAGTTATTCACATGTGTTATTTGCTGTCTCCAGGTCTCTATTTTATTGGATTAACAAATAAAGGCCAAAAAAGAAAAGAAATGCTTTGCAAAGGCCGTGCTCTTGCTCATGTCCTGCCGAAAACCCACCAAGTGTGCGGGGTGGAGGGTCAGAAATACCTTTGGACATCAGTGACCGGCAGATTAAACCTCCAGATACACCGATTCGGTGGAGACCAAAGTTTGCAAATTAGAAGGTCTTTGAAAAACCTTCATCTGGAAACATCTGTGTGCAGCCAGATGCACCAGCCCTTTCCAAACAGGTGCTGCCTTGGCTCAGCCCCCACCCACCCTGGTGTGCACAGGGCTCATGCCCATGTCATTGCTTGGGGGGTGGTAAGGGAAGGGCAGGTAGCAATGGCTGAGGCCTAGACTTAAACTGCCCAGGCTTCTTGGACTGAAGACCTGTTCTGCAGCAGCTCCTGAGTCCACCCTCCCAGGGCACTCGCTGTGGTGTTTTCAGCAAGCCTTTTCATCCTCCCTCAGTCTTGCTTTCCCAGTCTGTAAAATGGGGTCAGCACCCGCCTTTGTTAAAGCACTTTGAGAGCCTTGCCCAAAAGGTGCACGATTTGTAGGTAAGATTTGCAGAGGCTTCTTGACTATCCCATCCATCCCTGGATTCTCCCATCTTATACAGACAAGATACAGCAAGATGCTCTTCGTGGTGCTTCAGTTGGGCTGGAGAGGGTCTGAGGAAGCCTGTTTTCCTGTGTGTCAGCTGCATTCCCCAGCCACAGTTGCTGCGCATCGAGCACAGTCCTTTGCTGCATCAAGCACAGTCCTCAAGGGCTGTTCATGCTGGGAGGCCAAGTGCTGGAAATCCCTGCTTCCAGGGGGAGTCATTCCCAAGGCCTGGGTGCTCATGCACCAGGGACGGCTCCTTGGCGTGGGGGGAGAAGGCAGGATTTCCCACTCCTCTGAACTGTACTAATTGAATTGAACCTGCAGGCTGGTTCAGCCCAGCTTGTTAAAATGATGATGGCAGAAGGAGCAAGAGGGCTGCTAATTCCTCCTAAGGTGGTGGGTACTGTGAATGCCTAAATATTGATACAGGTGGATGTAGGGGTGTGTGTGCATGAGAGAGAGCGAGCGTATCTATTTGGGTTTGACATGGCCATGTGTGTGGGAGGTGTCTGTATTGAGGTACATGAGGCAGGTCGAGGCAGTGTTTTAGGGTACAGGGTAAAGCAGTGAGAATAAGGGGTGTTTGGGACCTAGGTAGTATACAAGGGTGTATATGTGGGGAGCCGGGGGTGGCTGGTGTTTGCACCTCTGTCTGTGCTGCAGGTCTGTATACACATGCCCTTCTGCTTATTCCAGTAAATATTGTAAAGCCCAGCTCAGGAAGCAGCTGGCTCACATGGCTTCAAAAAAGTGAAAGAATTGAAATATGAAAACCGTTAAACTTGTCCCAGGAACACAATCACTATGCCAAAGAGATCCCTATTGGTTAATCAAGCTGTTTAGGTCACAGGGAGTCGGGGATGCATTTTTAAAAAAATACTTAAAAAATAATTTAAAAAAATCCTGACCTGGAGTATTTAAAAGCTCAGATTCTCCAAAAAAATAAGCCATGAATGCAGGCAGTCAGTGAGGTTGCTCAGCTAATGTTCACAAGAAGGGTTCAACTCGCTAGATTAGAGACCTCAGCAAACCTTAAAGACAGAGAGAGCATTTAGAAATGCCCCTGAGGTTTTCCGTTAGTCTGCCATGGTCTTGGTAAACATGCCAATAAATACTGGAGAAGGGGAAAAAAACCCGGAGAGGAACAGACACGGGTTTTCAGTTGCTCAGTCTTCCGCATCCCCGGCGGCTGCCACGGCTGTTGTGCAGCCCAGGACGGAAAGTGCGTGTCATTTTGGTGCTGACTGTTTGTCCGCGTTGCAAATGTTTCTGGGAAGAACGCAATCTGGCGGAGGCCGGGACAGGAGACGGAGCACGCCTTGAAGTTCCCGATGAAGCCAGTTGAGGAGTTGCCTGGCTGGGGATGGAGAGTTAGCCGGATTCGCGTGCCGCGGTGAGTAGGGAACTGGCGCTGTCACGTTCTCCAGGCTGAGCGTAGATGCAAAATGAAAGGCTGTGGGTTACCCCCCACTGTGGGTATGGGGAGCAGCTTGCGGGTGAGTTTCTCCGTGCCTTTGATTCGGGCTGGGCATTACCCTCTTTCTTCCCCGCTCACATTTTAATGGGCTGCTTGGTGAGAGGTGCTGCATAGCACGAGTCAGGGAGGCCGAATCTGGTGGTTGTAATGCAGTCCAGCTTTTTATCCTGTCGCTGGCGGCATTTGTTGCCTCGGGAGAGAGCCGACATGCTGGGACGTCTGCTCTGGAGCTGAGTTTCTGTTTCCCTGCCCAGACTCAGCTGCATTTCTGATGGGAGTGGTGAGGAAGCAAGAACGCGCTCCTGCCAGGCTGTGCGTGCATTAAGAACCGAAGGTCTCTGCTGAGGGCATCTATTAAATTAACAAAGAGAAGGCAGGCTTTCAGATTAGAGTCAAACACGTTGGGGCCAACAGTTTAATGCTCTTGCAAATACACGGGAGCACCTGAGGAAGGAGGCATGTAATTAGCAGCTCTTTAGGCAGTTAGCAATGATCTGTATTTATCTAATCAGACACACTTCACTCCTCTGCTCTCCTAGAAGTGGCTGTTAAAAGCGGTTGGGTTTCAAATCCAGGACTTCCCCTCTCCAAGGTATTGCTGGAAACAAAACCGTAGGCACTCCTGAGACTGGTTTTGGTGTCTTTATTTCCAGCCGTTCTCTGCTTATCATCTATGAGGCCACGCTTTGTTCTGGGCAACTTTTGGGCAGCTACGGAGCTTTTTGGAGGACCTTGGCTTGGGGGCACGGTGCCATCACCCTGTGTGCATGCATTTACACACATGGCCTGCTATTCTCGAGCTCTGTTATGAGCTCCCTGTTTAGGCTTACACACCCAGAAGGGACCAGCGGGGAAAAAAGTCCTATTGAGTTTCTTTGGAGCATCTCTGATTTTTGGAGGGGCATGCAAGGATGCTCAGGGTGAGCAGTTGTCTTAGCAGGCTTGGGAGCAGGTCTCTGTCATGCACACTTTATTCAGAGAGAAACCACGAGCTGAAAGCTTGCTCTGGGTAGTGGGTGGCTCCCAGGAGATCACTCTGAACTGGGTGCAGAGGGGGCTTGGGTTGGTTCCAGGGGGCAATCGTGATCGAACCCCGGTAGCCCATCCTGGTCTGTCAGTGCCAGAGGTTGTCTTTCAGGAAGGGGCGAGTGTCGTCCGGTGGCTGGAGCTGAATCTCCTCCTTGCTTCTCACGTAACCTGGGATGTCAGCAACATCTCGGGGGGTGGAGGCTTGTGTAGTATCAGTCAAATGCTTTATAATGGGTAGAAGGAAAGGGTTATGTACCAAGGGCCAACCTCTCCTAGGGCATAACGCCAGGAGAGAAACCTTAACTCAGTAAGCCGCACTCCTGTTCAGTCTGCAGCCTCCCTTTGTGGGGATTTGTCCCACTTGGGGTGAGTAAACCCAGCACGGTTCAGTTCGGTGTCCACAGCCTGAGCCTTCCTATCCCTGGCATTGCAGGAGATCCTAGCACACACGGGCAGGGGTGAATCGCATGGCCAAGTTGTTTCCTTCTTCCCCCTCAAGCCTTGCAAGGGGTCCACCTCTTCCTTGGACAACTTCACTTTCCACCGAGGCCCTGACTCGGCCACTTCCCTGCATTCAGCCTCACTCCAACCGTCCTCTGAAGCAGACTTGACATCCGTGTGACTTCAGCACATGCTTAAAATTAGCTCGGAGATGGACGTAATGCAAGCCTTTTGCCAGACTGGGGCTTGAGGGCTGTAATAATGCAAGTGATTTGGGCCGGCAGGGCGTGGGTGGAGGGCGGGGTAATTAGATATGGGATAATTAACAGAAAATTGCCATGCACATGATGGCTGGCTGGTGAAGACCGGCCACAGTGGCGCTGTCGGAGCTTGTCAGCTTGTGCTGCGGAGGCCTGCGTCCAAGAGCGGCTGGGCAGAGCTCCTGCACAGATAGAGGGGCACTGTAGCTGGATCGTGGAGGCCGCTGTAATCCTGGTTGGAGCAAGCAGATGCACCATGCGCAGCTCTGTTGTCCTTGCATACACACGAAGCGGTCCCCATGCCCGACGCGGGTGTCTCGCCCTCCCCCAGTGCAAACCAGCATGCCAGTGGATGTTGCTACTGGAAGCGGTGGCAGGTTTTGGCGCTCAGGGAGTTTGCTGCGACAGGGAACCATGTGGAGCTCGGTGGTTTCTGTTCGCAGGGAGCTGTACGGTTTTTCTTCTCAGTTCACACGTGCACCCAGGAGCTTCCTCTGGAGCCTTAAACCTCCCATCTACTGAGAAGTGCGGGGGTGAGAGGAAAGTTCCCACTGGCATGGTGTCTGGTTTGGTTTTAGAAGCTTTGCCTGGTTTTAACCGTGACTAACTCAAGTGCGATAGTGTCTGGGTGGAGGGGGACAAAAACACGAGTCTAAAGGACACCGGTGCAATGTTGCACTCGGTTGGCTTTGTATCAGTCCTCATCACAGGAGCCAGGGCTCTGCTGCGGGTTGCATTTTATCTGTGCCATGAATGCCCCCTTTGTGACATGAGTCTGCGTTGCTTTTCCAGGAGCCAGGCCTAAAAGGATCCAGAGGAGCAGCATGGACAGCTTGGACCTCTTGAAGTTCCCCTCTGAAAAGGTAAGGGAAGGGGAGATGCCTGTTGGATGGGCAATGAGCAGTGGACTTCACGTCGGCTGGCCTAGGGGATTAAATATCCGAAGGACTGTGATGGCTTGTTTGCAGGGAAGTTTGCAATTCGTAGCTATGCGGGGAATATTTGGGCTTAACCACAGCTTGTTTCTTGGGAGCTGGGAGGAGGTGAAACAGCTGGGCCAGCTACACCCATAGCCACTGGAAGTCAGAACAGCGCGAGCACGTGTGCTTTCTTTGAAAGTCTGTCCTCTAAGGAGAGGCTTCGAGTTAACCTTTTAGCCCCTTTAGCTCTTGGAGCTGAATGTCAGTCCAGTGTAGCACCTTGTTGAGTCAAAAGGAAAGGTCAAAAGCAGGAGCACTGCACCAGGAGAAGGGTTTTGCTCCGCTGGTGCACTGAGGATTGTCTGGTGGGGACCGTCGGGGCCAGGTGCAATGGTGTCTCCTCTCTGTCTCTCCGGGGCATGGGGTAAGGGCTGACCCAGCTGGGAATCAAGGGACCTCTCTGCCTTCAGGAAAGGTTTCTTTGCCCATAAAATCTGCCTTGGATCCCTGCATTGAGACTTTCGGCAGCGCTCGCTGTTGTTGGGGGATCGAGCCATCCGCTTGTCCCTGCGGAGGCTGCTCAGGCAGCTGCAGCCTGCTTGCTGTGGATGGAATCAGTGTGAATAATTGATTCCTCTATCGCACTTTCCAGGCATAGATCTCGAGCTGTCAGCATCCTCACCTCCTGTTTCCGAGATGCAGAAACTGAGATGGGAAGGGGCTGGCCTGCAGCTGCAGGGAGGACCGGCAGAGGAAATAGGAACTGACCTGCCAAAAGGGTTTGAGCTCCTGCAGGTCCAGAAAGGTGCGCTTTCCCAGAGCGCCTGAGTGAGTTAGGAGCCCAGCCTGCTTAGATGCTTGTAAATACTGTCTGCATGCTCGAGTCCTAAATCCCTTTGCAAATCAGGTTCCTGGTCTCTCGGCCTGGCAGAACTTGGCTCCTGCATTAGAGCTGCCTCTTGAATTTATGCAGGCATGCTGGGACACAGAGTGCTCTGTATATGGCATTAATTGTTGGGCTCTCCCTTGGTACAGACTAGAGCCTGCTGTTCCAAATCACTTGCAAAGAGAAGTGAAGTGCCGTGTCTTGACAGAGGCGGCAGAGGCACTTGAGGTCAAAAAGATGTGTAAAAGACTGCTGGAGTGACATTTTCGTGCTGCGAAGGGGATGGCTCTGGGGACTCTCTCGCAGGGCGAGCGGCACTGATGTGCGGTTTGCAGCCCGTGCGCTCTGCTTCCCGCTCTCCTGTGTAATCACTGAGCCTTGTTCAGTAGATCAGGCAGGGTGATGAGGTTGTAGGGATGCGGCTCCGAGGCCGGAGTAAATGGAAGCTGTCAGCAAGCGGCGTTCTCCGCGCCGGGGAAAAGTCCTCCCGTTCTCCTTTGAGTGCTCCCCTCAGGGGCCATGTATTGAGATCTCTCTGTCAGTGTAAATCAGATGCATTTCTTCCCTTTCCCAGCCCCACTGGCTTGCACGTGGTGATAGCTCCCAAGGAGGGCATGACTACCCCCCCGCAGTAGGGATGACTGTCTGATGTGACGCTCCGGCCTCTTCCAGCTTTTTAAGCCCACCTCCTCATTTTCTCACTCTCTGCATGCCAGCCCTCCTCCTCTAGTCCTGTCTGTAGGTTTTACAGCCAGCAATGACCGTGGGGATCCTCTGGCTTGGCCTTCTGCCTAGCGCATGCCATAAAATTTCACCCAGATATCTCTACCCTGAGCCCAGGTGCTCGTGTGTGACTAAAGCGCAATCCTCCAGGAAGGTGGCGACTCCTGATCTGATGGCATCATCAAATGGAGAGTCCACCACTTCCCTGGTAGTTGGCTCCACCAGGTCATCGCCCTCGCTTGTACGTTGTTGCTTTATTTCTTGTTGGAGGGTGTCTGGTTTGAACTTCCCACCTCTTGGTTCTTGCTCTACTTTTCTTTGGCAAGGCAGTCTTTTCAGTACGCGGTATTTTCTTCCCCTAGAAATACTTGCCTGCCAGAATTAAGTCACCTGTCTGTTGTCCTTTGGATTTCTTGGATGCTAGTGTCTGTAGGAGGAGGTATTAGTAGGCATAGGCTGATGGTAGCATGGCAGTCTTTCCTGCCCAAGCGCAGGGGGCTGGACCTGATGATCTATAAGGTCCCTTCCAGCCCCTAAAAAACTATGAAACTATGAGCTTGGAATGGGAAATACCGTAGCCAGAGAAGTGGAGGCTACAGAGTCCACTGGGAAGGAGCAATAGGTTGAAAGACGCGGAGACGTGGGCTCATGCCTGGATTCTGTCCTTGACTTGTTACAAGACACATCCCTCTTCTGTCTCAGTTTCTCCATTTAGCAAGTGGGGCGATCGATCTCTACTATTATTGAGGCCCTGGGAATGGCCTTGTTTGATGTTTTTTTGAAATAGTTTTGAGAGCCAAGAAGGACAATGTGACCTGAAACAAGGGAGTCCAATTTTCCATCATCTACTGCAAGTTGCAAGGGAACCCAGTCATTGCCACGCACTTCTTGCAACGTGAGGAAGAAGAGTTGATGAGAACTCCAGACATTGCTCATGTTCAGTTCCTTACAGAGTTTCTCATTAGTTAAGGGCACTTTCCCTCTGTGCAGACGCAGCCTTTGAGAGGGAGGGAGAGGTCTGGAAGATGCTCCTTGAAAATTCAAGGCATGTATCTAGAGCGAAACATGTTTGATCGTTCATAGAGCATCAAGGAGAAAGACACCGGGAGCGTGTCCTGCAGCTTTGTACCTCCAGGCCCTAATTGGGTTATCGATGAATCACTGCAGGCCTCGGTGAGGTTAGTCATACGGAGGAGCTGCAGAAATGGCAAATGGATTGATTTGTGCCAACCGTGTCCCATCCTGGGCAAAATGGCAAGAGCTCCAGCTCTGCATGAGGAAGGTTTTCATGACTGTGATGGCCATTGACCTGGGCTCCATCACAGCATCCCAGCCTTGGCTCTTCAACGGGTGGGTTCATCTCTTCTGTCCTTTCTGAATCCTACAGCATCTGCTGTTTGTGTTCAGGAGGATCAGGGTGCTCTTTCTTTTCCATCCCAGTGACAGTGGTATCCTTTCAGACCCATTTTCCATTTAAGGGTGCTGCAGAGTTTTCTTAATGCTTCTAGGTGTGCAAATATCTACACACGAGACTTAAGATGTGGACTCATCTGGTCCTGGACTGAATCAAGTGCCCAAATGCTCCCCCTCTGGAGTGGCGACTCGGGGGAGACGCCCCTGTCTACCGCTGCAGATTTGATGTGGTTCAGGTAGCCATGGTCTCCTCACTTCCTTGGCATTACAGGCCATTAGCCCGAATCCAGCAGGACTCTCAGAGCATGCGTGCCCGGAGGGGAGAACATCTCCTTTGACGCAGAAGCTAGTGACAAAGAAGACTGTCATTTCCCGAAGGAGGTGATGACTCCCCTCTCAAGGCCTGAGTGTGCTGTGTGCTTCGGAGAGATGCCAGCCTATTGCCTGAAAAGAGAAAACGTTTGTTGCTGTTGTTCCTATTAAAATGACGGCCCCTCGGGCTGGAATCCAAGTATTTGAGTCATGTGCGGGGAGTGGTTTTAGACTGAGGTTTGCCTTCCTGAACATCCATCTGTCATATGGCATCCTCGTGTCCCATATACTGTTGAGTGCTGTGCGCGGTGCTGCATAACCGGGGCTGTCCCTGTGCCTCCTGCCATATGCCAGTGATCTAGGCCAGTGTTTCTATGCAGGTTTCCTTGTGCAAAGAGGCAGTACCTGGAAGGCTCCATGTTCCCAGTGTTAAATGAAGGCTTTTGAGTGGTTCACTGTGCTATTCTGGGCTGAAGGCAGCTCCTGTTCAAGATGGGGCATTTGAGCATTACAGGGCGGGATTCGTGGGCTGACTTGAGCTGTTGCGATGGGGTAGAGAGTAGCCAGGCAGGCAAGCAGAAGGCAGCTAGGAAGCGAGTTGTCCAGCGGGACCGTAGTGCTGTCTGTGGGAACTGCAGCCAGGCTCGGGGGCTTGGCAAAGACGAAAGCAGTGATCAGGGATTTGCACACCCACTGTGGTTGCTGGCCATCCAGCTCCATCCCTCCCAGCCTGGGGGCCCCAAGAAGAGGATGCACTCGCTCAGAAATGCCAGTGCTGTGCTCACGGGAGCAGGACTTGTTCCCAGTCTGTCCTCTAACATCCATTACAAAACCCTTGAAATGTAGTACCGGGGCCTCCCCTTTCCCCACTCCACGCCATTATCATCAGTGCCCCGCGTTGACTCGTCAGCCCTTCGCCACGTAAGTCTCAGCCAAATGGTTAGTGCCGTGACTTGTCCTGACCATTTCTTGTCCTCCCCAGGAGCAGAACGGAGACAGCCACCACATGGGTGACCTGAAGCTGGCGGGAAAGGACTTCTTGCCCCTGCCTGTGAGATCCAAGAGGTACCGGGAGAACCAGCCCAGTTCGGAGAGGAAATCCCAGGAGTCCAGCACGTCCCCCCTGGATACCAGAGATGTCCGAGTCCACGTGTCTCAGTCGGTAGGAAGATTTCCCTTGTGCTTTCTTCTCTCAACCCCGCGCAAGCTCTGAAAAGGCTGTTATACAGTGTTGGGGGTTTTTTTTTAATATAATGAAACAAAAAGGCCATGTGCTGTAGTGGCTCTCAGGAGACTTGCTCCTGTTCCTGCCTTTGGGTGACTTTGGGCAAGTTGCTTCAACTCCATCCTTCCCTTTACTTAATGATTCCAGCTGCTTCTGTCCAAATGCAACTAGTGGGAACGACTGTGCTGCTTGGTTTCCATTTACTTCTCTTGACTACAGTGGAGCACCAGTTTGGTCTTAATTTCTTCCATGCCGGGGAGGGGAGGAGGAGGTTAAGAGGTGATGCTGTGACTTCCGAAAGTGCTTATTGCTTTTGGGTGCTTCCCTTGGGCTGGTACCTTACTACACCCCATGATGCTTGGGGTGGGGGGGTGCTCTCTGAGGCTTCAGAGAATCCAGACCTGTTCAAATGCCTCCCAATAAGCCGACAAAATCATTAGTGGATTTTGGAAAATTTCAACCCCGATTTATGCTCTAGTGGCATCACACCTTGTTTTCTCTCCGGATCCCACCGGGGTGGCACTTGGGGGGTCCTGGAAGGAGCTGGGTACACCCGATTCTCCAGGGAGAATGACTGGGATCTTCTCCCTGAGAGCTGAGTAGCGATGATAATAGCACGGGTACCGCAGAGCTGGCAAACGGTGCTCCGTTTTGGGTTGAAACGAGTGGCACCAGCTGTGCTGAATGATGGAGCCCTCTGGCAGCGACAGCATCCAGCGCCAGGCGGGGACTGCGTGATTGGCCCTGGCAGAGCCGGGCTGGGAAACCCTGCGTGTCTCTTCAGCACGTCTTGGCCCGTGACAGCGAAGCTACTTGTGAGTCAGCCACTTTGTGCCGGTGTCGACGTGCCCATGCTGCGCGCTGCCTTGCAAGCAGCAAGGCTTCCTGCAGCTGCGCTGGTTTTGTTTTCGGGACCGGAGACAGGGATCACACCCACAAACAATTGCATGTTCCTCGTGGCAGGCGAGGGGGCTGAGATGCTTTAACTCGGCGGTCTCGAATGAGGGGCTCTGCCTCCGAGGCGTGTTATTACGTGCTCCGGGTGACAGCTACGGTCTCTGAGCGGTTCCGGCGTTAGGCGTGCTCCGGCTGTCCCGTGCGAGTGCAGTCTGACTAAGTGTGACAGGGAGAGGCTGGGATCCAGATGGTGCCAGGACCTAGTTATCTGGATGCCAGAGAAGAATTCCTGGGGCCTGAATTTTCCTTCCTCCCCCTGGTATGAGGCATTGCTGGGTCTGAAGTATAAAACTGAGATCCGGATTCACTGGCTCCCTGCAGTTTGGGACGCCTGAATCTGTCACCGGTCTGGGCTCTGGACTCGTGGCTGTCTGGTGCCTTGTCCAGCACACGCACGGGAGACAGAGCCACGCTCGACTCAGTGCCACGCTGGCTGCGCCCACCAGACCTCAGCTCGTCCTTGGGTAAGTCCCTTCCCCAAGCTGCCCAACTTCTGGGCCTCCCCCTCCCACAGCGAGGAGTGCTTGGCTCTGTGTCGCGGTGCACAGCTGAGCACCGAGCAGGGAAATGAGGCTCGGGGAGCCGAGGAGGAGGCGGCAGCAGGAGGGCAGCGGAGGGAACACAAAGGCAGAGAAAACACTTCTGCCAGAAATAGGCTTGTATTTTTAACAGCCGCGTTGAGCCAGAAACCAGACAAAAGCCCAGTTTCAGCGAGGCAGGCAGCGCTTCCAGCTCCCCGCTGACCACAGGAATACAACAGCAAGGGGATAAGCTGCGTCCATTAGAAAGCCCACGCCGGGCATCGCCGCCCAGCAGTGACCTTGGGGAGACCTCGGTGCAAGGCCAGTCCCCTCGATTGCACCGAGGTGATGCTGGTGCTTTGGACCATAGAAAACAGGCTGTTGTCCTGAGGGCCCAGCTGCTGCCCAAGGACCTCTGTGTGCCAAGCTGTACCAAACGGGTTACCCTGGAATAATTCCCCTGGCGACATGGTGTCTGCTGAAAGTGGCTTTGACTGAAAAATGGTTCCAGAGCAGCTCCTTCTCCGGGTTTCCAAGTACAGACAAGGCGATGTGTTTCTGGGCTCCGGTCCTGCATCGCACACGCACGTGTGCATGCACACACTTCAAAGCCAGAAGGGCTGGTTCTGATCAGATCATCCGGCTCGCTAGCAAAGCTCCTAAGGCCGTGGGAATACAGGGGCAGACGAGAGAATTGCTCCCACGCACAATGCACCTGCTAGCAAGAACCTCCTTGCCCTTCAGGACTGCCCCGCTCCCTCATCTCGGCAAAGACCGTTTGCAGTTGAGAGCACAAGGGACCTGGCGCAGATCGGAACGAAGGCTTGCAGAGCCGGGCCGATGATGTATTTAGACACTGTGCGGTATCGCTAAATGTTTCACAGGGCTCGTTATGACAGCAAGAGGAAGCATGAACCCTCCGGGACTGGGAAAGCTTCAGCTTGTCCCTGTAGGCAGGTTTCATGGCTGTGCCTCTCCTAAGCAAATGCTCTTGCAAGTGCTTGTATGATCTCAGCAGAGTAGGCAGAGATCCAGTATGTCGGGCTGGGAGGTCATGGGTCAGAGTCACGCAGCTGGCCTTTCTCTATGTACCCCTGTCCCTTTGAAAAATATGCTAGCTACCCCAAAAAGCCCCTTTGATTCAGAATAAGCACGTCCACATGAGGGGGTTGCATGATCCCACTCGACTTGGTTAAATAAGTCTGTGCAGTGTTGCTGTTCATAATGGGCAGAGCGTTTCTGCAGAGGCAGCGAGGAGGAGCAGAAGGGGAAGAGACAGGGGGTTGGGATTCACAAAGGCTTAGCTGAACGCGAAGGCCTGGACTGCTCTGCAGAGTGGTGCTGCCAAAAAAAAGGCCATGCTTTCTAGCCACCGTAGCCATGCCACCCGGGGCACCGGTGCTTGACCAGCAAGAGAGGCCTTGTCAGCTTGGCATACAGCATTCGGGTAATGGTGTAGCTCCACGGGGGCCACCCTTTTGGGCAGACATGGCACAAATGAAGCCCTACGCCCTTCCAAGTGTGCCACTCTGGCCCCCTTCCCCTGCCCAATTTGCTGCCGCTCCCTGCTTGATCTGCTGCTCTGCTTTCTGCTCCTGAGTTGTAGACCTGCAGCACAAGTAGCAGAGCTGGAGCCAAGGTTGGTGTGTGGGCTTAGCAGCCCTGTGCTCTCGATCCCTAACAGCCGCCCACGCCATCTCCCACCGCATCGTAAAGCAGGGACCGTGTGGGCAGGACAGGAATCTGAGGGCCGACTCTTCGGTGCCGTGGATCTCTGCTTAGGGGAGAGCGAAAAGGAGCCTCCCTAGGAAGGTGGGTTTCACCTTGCGGTTCCCAGCCTTGTGTTGGTCCTACCAGGTCACCTATAGATTTGCAGGGGGCAAATTTCCCCTTCCTTACAACAGCTTCACTGCCAGGTGCAGGCAGCAGCTAGCACGGCCTGGCCCCCCAAGGGACTGTGCTGGCACCTTGGTGCCACGGCGCTGTTGGCATTTAGAAATGCCACAACGAACGTGTCCTCCTTGCAGGTGCTGATCTGTCTCTCTCTGTAGAGAGAGAATTGCACACAGTTCTGGTACTGGTGTCACTGGCTCAGGGACAGACATGCAACCCCGGTACAGCCCGGATGCTTCGTGTCGACGGGTAGCAGAAGGGCTTTGCCCCATACCCTGGCAGCATCACGCTGTCCCATCCTTCTCTGCTATGGGATAACTGCCTCCACACTAGGGTGTTAGAGTAGTTTTGAAGCAAGACCACTCATCTGTGCAGCCCATGCGGAGACCAGGACACAGGGCAGTCACACCTAGTGATCCAGCATTCGGGGTAGGGTCCGTGCCTAAGTCCCGATGCTGAAGTCAAGGTGAGGAAGCCAGGGTGGGCATCCAAAACAAGCCAGAATCAGGAGGCACGGATCCAGCAGTCGGGAGCGAGGGTTAGAGTCAAGGCAAAGTGCTGGCATCAGAGCGGTCTGCAACCTCCCCTCCGCCAACCTGGTTGGTTTTGAGGCTGCATTTGGAGCGGGATTGGCTTCCCGTCGGTGCAGCAGCCCCTGATGGCTGCCAGAGGGCTAGCCGAGTCCCATCGTGAGCGGGAGCCAGGCGCTCACCATCTCCCAGTCCACAGGTGTTTCTCCTGGTGCCCAGTGGTGGTTGCTCATCAGGGCGTTTTGAGACAGTGAAATGAGCCTCTGAAATCGCATGGCTGAGGTCTGAGAGATAACAAGCTGTGTTTCCCCCCTATTTGGGTCCGTGGAAATGGGCCTCAGCATGATCACTGCAGTAACACTAAGGCCATGTGAGTAGGTAGGGTCCAAAGAGATGGAAAGAGGTGCTGGGGTAGCTGAAGGGCTGTGCTGGGAAACCTGCCTGAGACCCGTTCCACCCATCTCGCTCACCTGCCGTGCCCGTCATGGTCAAACCTCTTGCCACCAATTTGAGTGGCCTCTTGCCATAGCTTGTCCACATAGAGACACAGCCTGGAATAGCCATTATGCTTTAAATCCACGCCTCTATAGGCCGGCCCTTTGGCACTTTCTGCCCTAGCGCGACCCATAACTGTGGCAATCACGGCCCAGCTCTCAAGTATGGAGAAGGCAAGTGGCTGGACTCAGGACTTGCCAGAGAGACGCATGAATATCCACCATGGGGGCAAGGGAGCTGCTTGCGAGCCTGCCTTGCTTGGTCTACTTGAGAGCCCACTGACTTGCACGGCACATGAATGGTTCTTCACGGTTTTAATGGTGAGCAAGGGCACACGTCAGCATCTTTATGGAGCATTCCCACCCAAAGGGAATTGCAGCAGGAGTGAAAGCTGAGCTCCAGCTTCATGAGGCTCACTGATGTGCTGCAAGAGGGAGCGGCTTTCCCAGTTGAGTCAGGTGCAAACTAGTATCTTAATATAATGACACAGCACCTGCTGGGTTGCTCCCTGCACATGGAGAAGGCCTTGGCAGCGCTGTAT